TGTGTGTTTGTGTGTTTGTGTGTTTGTGTGTTTGTGTGTTTGTGTGTTTGTGTGTTTGTGTGTTTGTGTGTTTGTGTGTTTGTGTGTGTGTGTCTCTCTCTCTCTCTAATTGGAGTGCACATGACTGGCAGGTGAGGCTCAGGCAGGGGGACTCTGCCCTGCGACTGACTGCGGCAGACAGGGAAGGTCTGTTTATCACTGATCTAGCAACTTGCTAAAGATTTCATTAACAAGAGAAAGCGCTGACACCTTCGCACGCCAGACATCTGTTCTCACCCAGCCCGTCACGCACAATATCCGACAATCTTGTAAATGTCCAGAAGTGATCTAATCCTTTAAAGACTGTGGGCGCAGTTCTTAATTGCTGTGCAAGAAAGGGCTTTGGCTATTGTTTCAGAATAAATGATCTGGGAGCTGCTCTGCTGTCAAGGTACTGTCTCTCAGACTCTGGGGCACACAATGATGTGCATGTAGAGATATACCAGTTCCTCCCACATACAGCATGAGATACCCAGCGTGTTCGCTGAAGTCTTTTGCTGTCTTACTGCTGGAAGACTAACTGGCAGGACTGGACTCTCCCCGGTCGTCTAGAGGTTAGGATTCGGCACTTTCCCCGCTGCAGCCTGGGCTCAGTTACTGCTCGGAGGAGAGGTGGCGCTGCTGTGTTTAAGGGGGTATTGGTGGTTCGGTGGTGGAATTCTTGGCTGCCCCTCGGGAAGCCCGGGTTCGATTCCCAGCCAGTGCATCGTTATTATTTTTCATCCAGGGAGGCCTGGGCTGAGCTCCAGGTGTGGGAGTAAAGTTGTGATCCAAGGGATAAATTAATGACTACCTCCCAGATGGGCTTGTTGAGCCGAATGGCTTTCTCTGGCTCGCGTCGCTTGTAAGCTCAGACCACAGGGACTGTCGCAGGAAGGCAGGGAAACCTCTTAGGGTAGATCCCCAAGGCCAGTGACACCGTGTCGAAACACAGTGCTCAATAAGCACAGCTTTGTGGATGGGTTCTGCTGCCTGGGTCTCGTGCACACAAAAATATAAAATCCGATCCGTTTTAAATACGAAATTGTTTTGGAAAGAATAATGTTTGTAGAGTATGAATTAATCAAAAACGCTTGCAGCAGAGACAATGCCATTTTGTTTGCATTTGGGTGATGTTATTGTGGTAGAAAGAACTAAATCTAGAGATGGCTTAAAATTGTTGCTTTGAGGGTAAAATACAAAGAGACAGTTATCTCAGCACTTATACTGGGAACAAACCAGTGTGCCAGTAACTTTATTGGCCATAACAAGCACTACTGTTAAATATACTGTATATACACGTCTGGCACAGATAATGTTCTGTATTTACTGACTCTTGGATGGTACGTGCAGCTCTGTGGCATGTATATGTAGCCCAGCTCCATGGGGAGGGCCGGCTGGCTTGTTCTTCACCCAGTGTGCCCCCCCGCCCCCCGGCAGCTGGACCTGCAGTGTGTGTCTGCGTGCTGTAAGGCAGGGCTGCTGCTCCTGGTCCTGAGGGACCCCCCTGGCTGCTGGTTCTGCTTTAGCTGGGCCCTTAATCACCAGGAGCAGGTCAAGGTTTACTCCCTGCTGCTGAAAGGGAGAGAGAAGAGACACGACTTTCCGCTGTGGAGCCTTCTTCAGGTGTGACTCTTTTCTTTTTCCTTTCAGGATGGAATCAACCTTTACCTGTTCCTGTGCAGCCTACCCATGCTGACCCTTTATGAATTTAATGCCTTCTCTCCCTCAACTTGCTTATGAAAAATATGCTCACTTATTCTGATGCAAAACCTCTTGATTGGCAATCAATTTGAGAAGAACAGGGACAAGCGGACATACTGATGTATCAAACACCCTCACTATTAGTGCTAGTTTTTTGTCATGCTTAAGTCCTATTGGTTACAAGTCAGTTAGCACACCTAAAATGGCTAAAACTAATCACTTATAAACTGAATCAAAGGTTTTAAAAGCTGAATCCCTTAACAATACACCTAGAATAAATAACAGATAATAGAAAACTATGAGCCTGTGATGAAAAACTGCTCTAAGGGTGTATGGATATATAATTAGTTTACATTTTGATGTTTCAAAGGATGTCTGACATTTCTGACCTTTTCTGGAAAGATCTGTAGTTCCTTTCCATTTGAACAATTTGTATTTAGGTTGGATCTCGACTCTTTAATTTGAAATGTGTTCCTGTCAAGCATAACCACTCTTAAAGTCGTTCCTTAAGGCAGACCTCTGGGAATTATTTGTCAGGATTCACAGGACATGTGCTGGAAGAGCAGACAAAATCATTAGCGGCTTGTCATCTTTATTCAGCATACACCACCTTAATTGGACAGTAGAAGTGTGTTCCACAGTCAAGTAGCAGTTTCACAAAGATGACTGTTTTATCAATTTCCTTCAGCCAGCCCCAATCTGAAAGTGCAGGCGTGCCTTAGTTTTGGGGGGGAAAGAGATGGTCATAGTACTTTTAAGCACGGCGAAGAACGATGTTTGAGTAATTCTGGGTCTCGTTACTTTTTAAGTGCAGGTGCTTCTAACAGGTGTTTAAGGACAGATCCAGATCTCCTGTGGTTTTTAATCTCTACCTGAATTTCCTTGTGTACCAGCAGCCTCAATTCTTCACTCATTAACACTCAGAAAAAAACCCACAAATCCTGAATCCCTGAGAAATTACTGATGTTTATATAGTCCTGTTTCTACTAGTTTCTACTACTAGTGTAACACACATTCTTAATATATTTTTAAATCTTGAGACTGCTTGCAACAGTAATATTTTACTACTACTAATATTTATTCTACTGAAGGAGGCCAGCGACTATCGTTCAAAAGCAAACTGTTGATTTATTGTGTGTGTATGATGTTGATTTTCTTTTCTCTTTGATTTGCAGCTGTTTCCATAATGAGGTACAGTGCTTCTGCCTTTGCATTTGCTGTAAGTAATGCTAATTAGAAACAAACTGCAGAGGGTGAATTGTGGAACATCACAGTGCTAATGTGAAGCCTCACAACACCGGGGTGGATATTTATTGTGAAATCTGTTTGAGTCTTTCAAGAGCAGAGATCACTGAGCTTAATGAGCAATGCACAGCTTTATTAATAGCTGTGCTTCTCCTGAGGTGGATGGAGATGCTAAGCTTCATTTAAGTTCAGTTAAGAGTTGGTTTTGTGTACGTAGAATGACCGGACTTCTGGTGAAAACATTTTATAAGTACCATTGGATTAATGTTTTATGCTATGCTGCTGCTGTCAGTAGGGCTTACATATGATTCAATAGGTGATGGACTCATAAAAGAGCAATTACTAGTGCATTACTAGTGAGCTGTCTTCTCTCTGAAACTCCCAGAGATCATTACATTCTTTTGAGAAAGATCAAATACTCCTCAGAAAGCACTGAGTGCAGGCCAAGCTTCTTCAAGTCATTATTATCCAAGCAGAACAAAGCAAGCCTCATCGCATCCTGTCTTATTCTTTGTGGTTTTGCATGCCTTTCCATATTATGATACTGCTCTTTATCCTTTATTTTCAACTGCATGACAAAGGCCAGAGCAAGCTAACACTCTGTTCTGGTGGTCTTTAGCGGATCCCATTCTGTGCCCTCCGACGGGCGCTGAGGCCTGTTTCACTTGTCCCTCGCCTCTGTATCGCTACGATGCATGAAGGCGTTAAATCAGTGACGTCAACAGCGACCGGCGCCGTAAGGCAGCTGTGCAATTGTAGTGGAACAGGTAAAGGCTCATTATAAGCTGAAAGATAAAGAAAAGAAACCCCGTGTTCTGGCTGTGGAGCCTTTTTCAGGTGGTTTGTCTTTCCCTGTCGGCGTGGAATGAACCTTTCCCTGTTCCTGTTCTCTCTGCCCGAACCTTTGCGATTGGGATGTGCTGGTCAATGCCTGGGTGCTGCAGGCCAGGGGTCTCCATCCTGAAGCTCATAACGTGTGTATTCCTCTCTTTCAGTTCGATGCTACGCTGGATGTTCTGTCCTCGATTATTGTGCTCTGGCGCTACAGCAACGCTGCAGCTGTGCACTCGGCTCACAGGGAATACATGTGAGTCCAAAACTGAGCTCCGCGCGTTACAGGTGGCTCCCCTCTCCACACCCTCTGGGGCTGTCCCTGCCGCCGCTCTTAACATGCACGCTGTGTATTTGCTTCTAATAAGATTGATAAAATAATTAGCCAGTGACTTCTGAGATTAGAATCTGTTTTTTGAGCTCACATTGCATTAGATACGATTTCTCTGGAGGCCTCTGTGTTTGTCTGAATTTGGGTAATGAATAGTCTTTTGTGGATTGGGCTTACGGTGTACTTAACAGAAGAAATCCAGCAAGAGCAGCCTTTCTTTTCTTCCTGAGTGAGAGAGATAAAGGCAGCGCACTGACTGAAATGGGTAATACTTTATCTGCCCCCTCTTTTAAAATGCAGCAGGACTCCTGAATGGGGCAGGTGGCTATTGTTGGGTGGGGATAAAAGAGGCTGTGGCTGGATGCACTCCGGAAAGGAGCGAACACAAAAACACAGGAGCAGAGATCTGATCTGTATCATCCTTGGGGGACCACTGCAACACTCCCGTCTCTGCTGCTCCTCTTGTCTGGCAGCACAGACACAAGGCGGCGTCCCAGAAGGCGTCTCCTCGTGTTTCAGAGCTCGGAGGAGACGAATAAGAACGACTGCAGAGCTGAAACCCCAGTTCCCTTTTCTCACTGAGGCTTCAGGGTTGTGGTGCTTTTCAGCAAATCACCTTGCACTTCCTAAACAACACTCAGTCAAACCCAGGCAGATTCATTTGAAGATGAAGCTAAGATTATTTAAGCTTACTATCATTATTTTCTTGTTCAGACATGAAGTGCAAAACCTTGGCAGTCTTTGGTTTGAGTCTTTGTGCCTGCTCTTTTTACGTATTTTATTGAGCACCTATCCAGTATCAGCTTGTGGTTTCGGTCGCTGGTGCACACCTGTGTGTTGTTCTTCCTGAGTGCAGGCGCTGTCTGTTTTCCCTAAAGCAGGAGCTATTTTTAAGCTCCTAAACCAATGCGTCCCATGCAGCACGTTTACTATGAGTTACATGCTGTAACTCTGCTGGGACAGGTGCTGGAGTGCAGTGAGGCCCTGGTCTGTGACAGTGGGGAGATGGGCTGGGTTGAGTCTGTGTGGGATCTCTTGCCCACTCGTGGGGCTCACTGCGAGCCCAGGAGGGGCCTGATGAATGTGCTCATTCTCCCCCTCTGAGAACAGAAGGGCATAAGGCTGGTCACAGGTGAGACATCAAGCCTTTAGTAGAGCTAGTAGATCTGGATGGATTCCACAGTATCAGAGTGAAGACCAGTCTCCCTGGTTATGTAGCATTTTGACAGCCTTCATTAATTGCTTGCCAGTGAATGGAAACCAGAACTTGAAGCAGGATGTAAACGTTTGTTACTTCACATGCACTGCTGGACTTTATGATCCTCTTGGTGTGTGCACTGCTACTTGTTCAGCCGGCAGGGAAGACAAACGTGTTCTTACAGACTTGTTTGTCTAACAGAGCCTCAGACAAAAGGAGGTATTACTGAAATAAATGATGATTAAGTGTGTTCCTACTGAATTTTGTATTATTTCATTAATAATGTTTGCTTATATCCTGATTCAAAAATTACATACAAAATAAAGAAAGGATGCCTAGGTGACTGTCACTATTCTACAAGACATTGTTGGATTTGTATATTTGTTGGATTGTTTTTGTGATTCTTGTAATTCCATAGTAACATAAGAAAGGTACAGACAACAGGAATAGAACGGCACATCTGGTCTGTATTGTGGTTCAGGGCTTGTGGCCATTTTGTGATAAAGACCACTTGGCTGGGTAGCTTGTTCCAAACTCCCACAAGCCTTTGTGTAAGACAAAGTGCCCTCTGATTTCAATAAGAATAAGCTGCTGATTGAGAAGAACATAGCCAAAAGTGTTTATATACAGTATGCATCCCCAGTTTGGTTCTCATTTTCTCAGTGGCTCCTCTCGGTACCTCTGTGTATCACAGTGATAAATGACACCACGGCTCGTTTTCATTAATCTTCTTGCTCACTCGGATTGTCAGTCCAGGAGCTGCTCTCCAAGGAGAGTGTTAAAAATAAGACACAGACATCTAATTACTGTTCGACATACAGCCCCAGCAAGATTTATTCAGAGGTAATGGGGAAAAACACATTACACCTCAATTAAGTGTCAGAGTGTTGGCTCTCTTGCAGATATTAATTTAGTCAGCGTGTTTTGAGGACTAAAGATATACACTGTTTTTCTGGATTTTGCTTGTAAACTGACACAAATGTATAGGACTTGCAAAACCAGAGCAATCTTAAGGTTCAGAATGGTATATTGCTGGAAAACTTGCCCTCCGAAACTTTAAAGTAGTGATTAATATTTGTTACACACGCAATCAACTCTGCACATTCAAAACAAAAAGGAAGGAGATAATATGAAAGAAAGTGGAAAAATTCATAATTACTAAGAATTCAAACCCTTGGTTGTTTAGGTGCACAAAAGTAACTTAATGAGCCATAATTAGTTGAGTGGCCTCTGTATATCATTTTTTGATAAAGATCTTCATAAATATTAATCAAATTACAGGGGTAGGCATTCAGAGAAACGTGTGCGTTTGGACTGGGAATTGGTTAATAAACAGAAATTGGAAAGCAGTGATGAGGGGTGAGTCCACTTCAGAAGGATGCAATTAGTGAAGTACCACAGGGATCTGTTCTGGGACCACTGCTCTTCCTTGTTTCTATCGATGCTCTAGACTCTGGAGTAGTTGGTAAACTTGCCGTGTTTGTCAATAATACCGAAATAACAGGATTATTAAAACACTGTAGAGGGAGCAAATTAATTTAAAAAGGAAATGGACAAAATTCAAGCTTGGAAAAACACCTGGCAGATGACCGTTAAGATATATAGTTAATAGTGTTGAATTGAAAGGGATGTTATGTTAAGGCATGTTATGTTAACATTGAACAATGCACAAGTAAAGCCTGCATACTGTGTACACAATAACTGCAGTCAAATACATTCTGGGGCTCAGGGGAATGTCCTACACTGACAGGCTGAAGGAACTGAACTTTTCCAGCCATGACCAGGGAAGACTATGAGGGTACCTGATGCAAGTATTGAAAAATGGCAAAGCCATCAACAAAATAAACCCAGCTGATTTCTTCACAGTGAAGTGAAACATGATTCCACAGGCCACAAGTGGAATCTATGCATTCTGTACTGAGAACAGGACGCACTTCTTTACCCAAAGGGTTTTGGGAGTAGGGAACAAGCTACCCAGCCCATGCTGTTGAAGCTGGCACTTTGGCTTCTTGGATGAGATCCTTGGATCAATTAGTTACTATCTACCAAAGAGGCTACATGAATGGCTTCCAGTCCTTTGTAACCTTTCTTAGTTTTTTAAACTGAGTCCAAAACTCTTGGGCATTGAACACATGCCCCCATGTCACAGCTTTTCCATAACATTCACATAAAATGCCAGGTGTGGGCTCAAGCTCTTTGTCACTCCGTAATGCAGTTACCATACCACGGCTGAGAAAAAGCTGTTTTTCCAACAATATGTCATAAAACCATTCCCTGTGTCCTGTCAAGAAGAAGATCCCTGTGGCGCAGGAGCCCTGGAGTCCTGGCTCGGGGTGGTGGGGGGGGTGCACCCCTTTGCCACAGAGGTGTGTGTTGCATGTTGATGCTGTCTGAGCCGTGCACGCCTCCCGAGCGCCGAGGACCGAGCTCCGCGGCTCCGGCTGCTGGCCTCCCCGCTCTCCCAGTTGCCTAGCTACATCCCTGCCTTTCCTCCAGGGATCTGCGCCTGCGAAAGCCAGAGGGCTGCTTGACATGCAAGGCGTTCTCTTCCAAGGCCGCGTGCTCTGTCTGTCAGTGCGCCGCCTGCCTGTCATTGCCTTCCCCACCTGCTCGTGTTCCTGGAACATTTGCAATGTGGGGATTTACTCAAATAGACCTCTCTCGGTTCCAGGGTTACTTTCCAGTGATGTTCCTCATTCACTGTAGTACTACAGTTGATTACAAAAAATATTGTTTTATTCATTAACATCATTAAAATATGGTCTTTGTAACCTAAACAATGAATCTTTCCGGATTTTATATACATGGGCAACCCTTAACTATTACAATTTTAGCTTTTTATATTATTTGTATCATACATTTCTTTATGTATGCACACAGAGTGTTGGAAAATAAGGATTCTTTCATTGGTCAGGAGCCCTAAGTCAATATTCCTGTGTGGAGTGCTATCTTCTCCCCATGTTTGTGTGGGTTTCCTCCAGGTGCTCCAGTTTCCTCCCACAGTGCAAAGACATGCTGGTAGGTTAATTGGCTTCTGGGAAAATTGGCCCTGTTGTGAGTTTGTGTCTGTCTGTCTTGCGATGGACTGGCGTCCTGTCCAGGGTGTATCCTGCCTTGTGCTCGTTGCTTGCTGGGATAGACTCTGGCTCCCCCACGACCCTGAATTGGAAGAAGTGGTTAGAAGCTGGATAAATAGTTTGTCATCTCGTTCATTATCTAGCAAACTGTATTTAAAGTATTCAATAAAATTATTGAAATAATGTAATTACATTGAATGAAATAATTCAAGTATTGGAATAATGTATTTTTTGGAAAATAATCATTTTTGTGTGTATTGACATTGGCGATGTCAGAGCAGAGTGTGTCAGCAGTAGGGTAATTTGTCATACTTACTGTAAATCACTAAAGATGAGATAAGATTGTATTGTCCCCCGAGGGAATTGTTTTGTGGACACACACACTAAAGATGCTGTGACAATATTTAGAAAGGAGGGAGCAGGGATGTGTTTCTATTATTAATGTTAACAGAGTAGGGGCACTAGTAATTCTAAAGATAAAACTGCATAAGCAATAACACATTCGTGAAAAAAATGCTGTTGTGAAGAAATTGCTCTGTCCTATTTCTTTACCGATGATCTTAAAAAAGGATCCTTTGAGACCAAGACACATTTCTGGATTCGTACCCTTAAGGAGAAATTCAAAGTACAGCTTGTTTAATTAAAGACCAGTTAGAACAAGTCCCATATTTTAGCTTTATCTTAACATTGCTTATTCATAAAAATACTGATGTTTAACTTGTTCATGTAGAAGCACTGAAAATGAATTATTTAAGTGGTTCATGACATTCAAACAACATCCTTCAAAACAGAACCCTTTCATTCAAACCCTGTCGCTGTCAGTTGCTTCAGGAGAGCTGTTGATGAGAGGAATGAGAAGCCTGAACCACGATAAACCGCCCTGTCTTCAATACAAGATATTTTGTTAACTCTGTCCATTGCAAGAAGGGTGCTTCCAATCAGAACTGCTAGGAGTTGTGCCCCCAGCTGGCAGACTGATATCCGTGACGTGAGATTTATTTCTGAGCGATACGCTTTGGAAGTGAAGGAAGGTGGTAGCCGTGACCAGTCTTCAAATCTGACACATTCCTGAAGCATAGCACTGACAATTCACACCTGCCTTTCCTGTGGCATCTCAAAGGAAAACCAGAAAGCCTGATACTTATTCAGGTAGCATCCTCCTCACAGCTTAGCAAAAGAAGAAAGCAAGATACATTTAGCTCCAGATCTGTGAAGTTAATATCATAACAATAAAAATCCAATTTGAAATTTAATGTTAAGACAACTACAATATATACAGTTAAATTTTTATTCATGCCCCCAGTGAAATACAAACATGAAAGAAATCTCAAAAGGTGGTGCTTTAATTGTTACAGCATTGCACACAGCAGTCATATTTGATATAAATATTTTTTGGAATTCCAGAAATGATTAGTCCCATTAATGTACAGCTCTATGTGTCCCTTTTGTTCTGTACTTTGGAAGTTCAGTGGAGCCAAACAGAGGCAAACAAAAGGTTCCTGTTCCCTTGGGGCATAAAAGAAGGTAACACACAGAAGGTTTGAGAGGTCACAAAAAGCCCTCAGGTTGGGGATGTCCATGAAAGAATCCACAAAGGCTGACATTATTGCTTTCCAATAAGGTCTATTTTAAGAAATTTAGGACTATGGGTATACTGGAAAAACTGTCAGGAAGCTGACTCGGTGTATCTCGCCAACATGGCTGTGAAACAAGTGGTTTGGGAGGCAACCGTAGATAAAAAGACAACAGCTGAAGATCTCCAACATATTCTGGCATCTTCAAGACAATGCTAGTTCTGGGAAAATACCCCCTGAAGCTGGATGCACAAATAGCATTCATGGCCAGTTTGCAAGGAAGGAGCCTTTTTTGAGAGTGAGCAGCATTTGTGAATTTTCTGCACTGCATATCCATGATAATTGGAACTATGTCTTAAGATCAGTTAAAATGAAAATGGAAAAACTGAGATATTTGGACATGATCATCAGTGTTATATCAGGACATTTTGACCAGACAGCTGGTTCCCTCCACCAAGAAGCTCAAGCTTGTCCAAAAACAGGCACTGCAGCATAACAATGATCCAAAACACACGTCCAAATCAACAGAGGAATGCTTAACTATACACTGAATGAATGTTCTTTACTGACGTTTTCAATCTCCAGACCTCAATCCGACTGAACATATGTTCTCAAGGAGGCAGTTCAAAAAAGATACCAAAGGTTCTATAGCAAGTCTGCCTGGAGTGGATGTCAAAAATCTCCTCTCAGAACTCCCAGAACTACAAGAAGTGTAAGCCCTGGCAGAGGAGGATTTACAAAAAACTAAAGCAAAAAACTGTGACCCGCTTGTTTTCATTCAAGTTCTAATTATTTATGAAAAATATTTTGGTGTATAACATTATCAACAGGTTTGTTCAACTGGATCTTCTGGGTCACAGGCTAGTAGCATTTGTGTCCACTGTTAGATGCAATACAAGATGATTCAAGTAGGTACACACCTAAAGAAGGCTCCACAGCAGAAATGTTGTTTCTTTTCTTCTTTTTTCAGCATGGAATAAACCTTTACTCGTTCCTTTGTGATACAAGATGTTCACTCCAATACTTTACTCCAATGTACACATGCCATCTTGTCCCATTCCCCTCATAGAGCTTGCACAATATCTGACATGCTCACTGACTCTGAGTCCCAAAGTGCCACACATCATCTCAGATCCCTCTTCTATTGTTCAGTGGGTTTCAAGTCTGGCAACTAGAATATCCATGACAATCTGTAACTTCTGCATTCTCGTCTGTAACAAAGGCATTGGCACACACCACAGGAGGGCATGTGCTGTCCTGCTGGAACGTTGTCGCATCAGGGTGAACCTGCAGAAAGGGCAGATAGTGTAGTCCCGGCACATGATCAGTGTAAAGCTTCTGCATCTTTGTATCACTGTTGCAGATGTCCATCAGGGTGGTCAACAGAAAACCTGCTGTGGTGTTGCTCCAACATACTAATGGTGCAAAAGCATTGCTCTCTTTGGTGGGCGGTGCAAGTGGGTTCTTTCTGTGTTTTTCTTTCTTGTTTGACATTCAGGCTTGACATTCGACAAGTTTAATCACCCCATCACCTGTGCTCAGTTGTCTCACCAATGAGGTGATTTAGTGCTTGTGAAACAATTACAGTCACAGCCAGTCATGCATGATCGATTAATCAAAATGGCAAAAGGTTTACCAAAAATCTGTACACATTATTTTTCTGAAAGCATACATGCATAAAATTAAGTAATACATAATGTAGGCTATTTTTTGTAATGTAATGATTTATCACTAAATGGAGGGTTTAAAGGCCAACTGTTTGCTATGATATCTTATTTTTGTTTGCTCTTGTGACAAAAAGGTTTGTCCAGAAAGCGAGCTCCCTGGTGGAAAAGCCTCTGCACATTGAAGGGCTGCTGACTCTGAGATGCCTGTGCTGGCAGGGTTGTCTACAGAGAATACCTCCCTTGTTCCAGTGGTTCCCTGGGGACGGCTTTCAGATGGTCTGGATCATTAGTTTCCCTCAGTCCGGCACTGTATTTGTGAACCAGAGGAGGCTTGAAGAAGGCAGCTGAGGGCATGTGAAACCAGTTCAACGGCATCTTCCACTAGTTGGCTCCTGGCCTGACACTAGAGAGACCAACGATCCATTTTGCCAATGCATGGTTTCTGTTGTGGGATTTTCTCCTGAGCATAGTCACTCCTATAAATACTCAGGCATAAAAATGTAAATCTGGAAATTTTTGGAGCATCATGTGTGTGTATTTTTCTTAGACTTTCTGTTGTTTTATAAATATGTATCTTTTTTCCACAGAGCCTGTGTGATCCTCGGAGTTGTGTTCATTCTGTCCTCCATGTGCATCTTGGGAAAAGCCATTCATGACCTGGCAACACATCTGCTCCCGGAAGTGGTGAGTGAACTTCTGGGACTGGGCTGAGGGCATCTCGACTGAGCCACAAAACAGCACATTTCTGGTCTTTCAGACAGTGCTAAAGAGCTTCTGGAAGAGTGTCCTTAGCTTTAGCTTAGCTGTTCTCAATGACATGAGTAGGAGCAGAAACAACTGCACCTGACTAAACCTCTGGCGACGTTTGGATGTGAACAAGTCAAAGAGCAGAACTGTTAAACTACCAGGGACATTGCTGCTCATGAATACACTGGCCCAGTTTATTTTTCGATAAGATCATAAGAACGGTTATGAAGGAAGACAGCCATTAAGCCCATCTAGTCTGTTCTATAGTTTGTGATCTGAAGGTTCTTTAATCGAAAAGAAACTGAAGACAAGTTCTTAAAATAGCTCATTATTTTATTCCTTTTCTGAGAGGCTTCTGTGAGTGAGGGAAAATTCCATTTTCAGAACTAACAGGTGTGAGGTTGTGAACACACAACACTTCAGAAGTGGGAATTTACAATGTAACTTGAAACCTGAGACGATGAAGGAGACGTGCTATTTTTTTTACCTCGTAACTTTTTTATCATTTTCAACTGATTCTATGAAACGCTTGAGGCAGAAGCGCGTGAAGTAAAGGGATAAAGCAGGTAGCCCCGTTCTCAAAATAGTCTGTACACTGTTGCCAGGCAAATTTGACTTTTCTGAGGAGTTCATTGAGCTCGAACTACGTCAGACAAGAAGCATTGTTTAACCTCTTTTTAAGTATATGGTAGATAAAACTTATCTTTTACTGAAATTAGGTGACAACGTAGCCACGCAATAAAACATCTTACATTCATTTTTCAGTTTGATAAAAATGCTCACAGAGCTGGTAGTATGGAGAAATGTTTTGAAGTTAATCATAAAGAATGGGCTATTTAGCATTTCTCTTCAGTTCTTTGTTAGATATCGGCAGGGTAACATCACAAGCTCTAAGTTAAATGTCAGATCGTTCGTCTTCATAACTTTTGTGATCTGTGGTTCGATGTAAAATATCTGCTTTTCTTCTCTTTCTACGGTTATTAATAACATGCCTGTCTTATGTCTTGTATCGTGATGCTCTTCTGTAGAATGCTTTCCAGCTGCTTCCTCCGGTGCTCTAGAAAATGTGTTAAAAACAAATATTTAGTCTCATGAGAGACCCAGAAAACAGAACAGTGTGCACTTAAATGAAATGCCAGCCAGGATGGTGTGCTTGAGTAATGCAGTAAAAGAACCCTTCAGAATAAAAAAACCATTAGCAGCTTTGAAACTCCAGCCTGCGACTCTGTCTTTTAATCAAAGCTGCAGTTCTTTGCTCTAGAGAATCTGCAGTCCGGCGAGAGCCTATTAAGAAATTCTGGTGCATACAGTACAAGCTCCATCTAAAAATAGCCGCCTCAGAATTCTTCCAAAACATTTGTGTCAAAGGAATGTGCCAGATTTTGTTTTAATAAGATTGTAATGGTGATCCTGTTTCATTGGTATTTATTCTCTGGTATTATTAGAAAAGAGAGACCTTTTCAGTTTCACTTACTATTTCGCTAAAGTCTTGCATAAACTACCAAACACGCGGATCAGGAAATCATGTTGCACTCCAATAGAGAAGATGTTTGTCAACAGAAAAGATCAGAGTGCCGTGATGTACAGGAGACTAGAGTGCAGTAGGGTGAGGTGGGGTACAGGAGACTAGAGTGCAGTAGGGTGAACTGGGGTATAGAATAATGGGACTTGTGTTCTATGCACTTTTAAATTATATTTTTTGGCAACTAGATTCTTCTATAAGCAGTAAGTAAGCAGAATGCTAGTCTTCATAGTTAATTCCTTATTTTTTAGAACTTTTTAACTCCATTAATTGATATTGATGTTTTCACTGCTTCTGGCCTGAATATTTTTAAATTGTGTGAATGCATGTTTCTGTTCTGCACGCACAGTGATTTCATGTACTTGAATGGATTTTGGAAAAAAAATGTTTTCAGGGAAGAGTTTGAACTGAAATTCTTTTTCTGTTTTTGTTAATATTGCGAAGGTTGTAAAAATGACAAATGAGCAGAGGTCAGCTGTTTCATCTCTTTTGGTTTGGATGCTGTCCATGCGAACTAATCTGAGCTGTGTGTCAAAGCAGTCAGGGTGTCAGCTGACAACGTGGCTCGTTAGCTTGTTCCAGACTCCCACAGCCTTACCGTAGAAAAAGGTACCTCCTCTTCTCAAACAATTTCCCTTCCTACGTCAATTCAGTGCATCTGTGAATGTTCTGAAATTAATGAATACTATTTTAAAAAAGGAACAGATACTCAGCATTTTAATTGGGCAAACTAATTGGAAACCAACAATGTTTTTCTCCTGTCTTGGACTCATCACTGTGCCTCTGCTGGCTGGGCCTCATTAGCACAGACGCCCGTTAAAGACATTGAAAACTTCTCTTCCATATCGATCAAGTTGCTAATACCTGAATATTAACAAATAATTGAGTTAGTGATACTGCTTCATTCTGATGTATGGATGTTTGGAGAAAACTGTTTTATTTTTCAAGTGTATTCAGGTGCAATGAACCCATGAATAACTGGTTAATGAGTGATTTTCACTTAAGTCAGTTAATGAGTCAGTCAGTCAGTCAGTCATTCATCAGTTGATCGGTATTATGGACAGTTTTCCTGGAGTGTCCCTTGTAGTATGACTTGCTAATGCGATAGTGGCTGTTCTCCAGAGGAAGTCACAGAAGTGTAGGGCTGGTATGGTATTGATCAGGGCATCTCCTAATGTGTGGTCCTGCATCCAGAGGAGTCTCCGGCTTTCAATCTGACTGGTCTGAAGGTCTTCAGAAAATATCAGCTTCACTCTTTACCACAGCCAAAAAACAACAACATTTTTATAGTACTAAATGCATGCTGAAAGACAGTTCTTAGACAGAAATCTATTAAAATTTATTTTTACAAAGTGATATTCGTTCGGAATTATCAGCTGTATTCTGCATGGCTCTTAGACTCCTTGTATCCCTGATGTGATTAACTAGAGACCCACCTAGTGGTGTCTGACTGCAATATGGCAGAGATCGCTTGGATTGAAGTCAAATGTGTCTCGGAGAACAAAAGCCAACTGCATTTCCATGTCTCTCCCTTTGAGATGAGGATGATACTGCAGTGGACTCCTCCTTGTTATTCGGGTAAAGTCTCTCTCTCTGTTCCATATGTGTATTACACAGAAGTAACAGTGGGTTTTAACACTCCCTGACACAGACTAGATGAAATACAAATAGGAAGAGGTAAAGGTTTATTCCATGCTGAACAACATTGTGGCTGTGGAGCCCTCTCTGGGTCTCTTGTCTTCTCTTTTCAGCTTGGAATAAACCTTTACCTGTTCCTGTGCAGCCTATGCATGTCGACGCAGATCCCTACTCGAAATCCAGATCGTTTTATGGTTCTTGATAAAGTATGTTTTCAGGATGCTTACATGGTTCATAACCGATCCTGTGTACCACACAATAAAGTATATGTAAATTGATTCTGAATTCTTTTAGATCATGGGTTGACCATTCTTACTTCAAAGCAATTATGATCCAGTCAATCATGTTGTGACCAGTTTATTCCACAGCAAGCCACGGGTGCAGGGAAGGGTACCCTGCAGGGCAGATACACAGACCACACACACTCACCCCAGGGCCAATTTCCCAGATGCCAGTTAACCTCCCAGTATGTCTCTGGACTGCGGGAGGAAGCCGGAGCTCCTGTAGGAAACCCACACATATAAACACAGGGAGAAAATATCAACTCCACACAGACAGGACCCCAGACCTGGATTTGAACACAGGGTCCCAGGTCAGCGAGACGGCAGTGCTAAACCACTGTGCCACCCTGATCATATTCCATCTTGCTTAATTTTATTGGAGATAATACCTCTTGTCAACCCAAACCCTAATGTTGCTTCCCTGTTATACAGTAATTGCACACTCTGCTCATTGGGCTTCTGGAAGTTGTCAAGATTCAATATCAAGGACACTGCGACACTGTTCATTAGGTGGTAATGAAGATCAAAGAGCCTCCTGTATGAGATAAGTATATTCAGTGTCCAGGACATCTGGTGTCGAGCCAGACCTAGACTTTTCTTTTCAAAATAATTGACCTACAGTGCATCGGCAGTTGTGTTTGATATTGGGGCAGATCAGGAGACACAAAAACGACAATTTCCATGGCATCTAAAGCAGCTCCTTGGACAGCCTGACACTTCAATTGCCCTGTTCCTCATTCTGTCTTCCAGACATCTGCTTTGCAAAACTATTCATTTGCTCAAACTGCATGTGTCAGTCATCAATTGCAGGAGACAGCACAGTGTGGTGGAAGCGCATGTTGTGTTCAATGATAAGGAAATGACTGGTTTCTGTATTTACACCAACAGGGAATACAGCTCGTGTGTTTATTTGTGTTTCTGACATTTTGAAGTGGTTGCAGTAGCTAACAATACAGTGCAGTAGACCTAAAAATTAAGTGAAAATCAGAGTCATGCTGCAGAAGTGCCTGATTTATTAGGATTAAGCTCAAAGATAATCATGAGGTAATGCTGGGTTAGAATCTTTTTGTTATAGTTAGGAATAGTTTGTTTTATAAAGCATAGAGGTTTGTATTAAATTCTTTGGCTGAATTGGGATTAGGGTTAGAGTTACAATTAGGTTTTAGATATGGGGCTCATGGTCAACATTTATCTTTTGGAGATCCTCAACATTTCTTGTTTTCCAAAGACATAATATGTTTTTCTGCACTGAGCTTATACATTTGACTTTCAAACAGGCTTCTAATGGGGATGGTGAACTACGGGCTTTACAGTGTGCAGTAAATATAAACGATTAAGGTTTAAAATCCAGTATGAGAATGGGGTGTGTATACATTCCTATACACCCAGTACATACGGTATCTGGATTGACTTAAAAATCAAGTGAGTGAGTACTGAGTTTCATGATTTCTCTTTTGAAACTACAGCGCTGGAAAGACAAGAGCTTGTCATGACTCAGAAAAAACCCTTTCTGCGCTTCCTGTATTTACAACTTACAAGCCTTTCCCTTCTCCCTTCTCCCTTTGCCAGGACAACTTCCTCTTCAGCGTGTCCATCCTGAGTGGAATCCTGTGTGTCATTCTGGCTGTGCTGAAGTTTATGCTGGGCAAAGTGCTCACCAGCAGAGCCTTGATTACAGATGGTAAGTGACTGAAAAGAAAGGGATCGTCTTTAATATTTTCTCTTTGGGAAGGCAGAAAAACAAAATGTCATTCATGACCGAAATACTGTCTTGCTGACTACCTCATCATGCACACTGTGTGCATGTGATCTGACTTGCAGCATCGCACTATAAACTAATTGTCAGCCAGGGCTATTCCGATCAGAAACAATCAAACAATGAGGGAAGAGCTCCATATTGACCCCTTGGTGAGAAAGCTCTGATAACCACTTAATTCACCTGATCCCATCTTCTCCACTCGAGGAGTAGAAATCCAATAATCTTTCATCGCAAGCAGCTTCCTTCCCCTGAGGACTCCTGCTGCATGCTCCTGATGAAGAGTGGGGACCAGGCTGGTGGCAGTCAGGTGCAACTGGAGCGTGCTGCTCTTCGTATCGATCGTGAATTCTAAGCTCTGTAAACGGATGGTCTTTTGTTAAGATGCAGGGACTGCTTCGGGGTGTGAAGCAGGCTGGCAGGTACAATGATGGAGAGGAGTGGAACTGTCCCAGATTACACTTTCGGATGGCTTGATTAAAAACTGGTCCCTAGAGGGATGTCTGAGATCATGTCTTCCCACTAAAGAATGGCAAGAGACACATTGTCTTTTGTGTCCCACTTCCACCTGCTCACATACTGTACAGGTGATTTATTTATTCTTTCTTCTTATTCTTCTTCTTTAGGATGTTGAACACAGTTCCACCACTAGCGTGTATGTTATTGTAAATGTGTTCACTTTTATTACTTTAGTTACCTTATAATCCTTTTCATTCAAATCCACCTAGCTTTGTGCTCTATCTGCAGTAGCGGGGAATACAGTACATAATCATGGGTTTTTGGTACTGGAGGTACATTATGTAACTTATATATACTTCACACACAAGTCTATTTTACACAAAATAGTTTCATTATAGGATAACTAACACATGGCAATGACATGACTGTTCTGTTCACCTAGTTAAAAAACTAGCCTATTAACTAGCCTATTAAGGCTATTTGCTTCCTCAATCTGATATTTATTGGCAAACGATGGCAGTCAGATCAGTTTTATCTTGTGCCTCCTATTATAGAGAGAAGAACAAGCAAACCCCTTATTTAGCGGTAAAGGGGTAAATCCAGCAAAAAGATAAACCTTTCAGATGCGTGACGCGTTTCGAATGCCCTGACGCAAACGTGTGGGCGGGGTTCTGTCGGAGGAGCCCCAGTGGTGACTGCCCTGTAGAGAGACGGAGATGTGCAACATGCAGAAGAGGGCTTTGCGAATTCAGCACGGAGCTGTGACAAGACGAAGGGATCTCCGACAGGATCGTGGATCGTGGCAGTTTGAGGATGGATGCTTAGCCTGTGCAGGAGTATGACGTCTGACCTTTGAATACGAAGGGGAGGCTGGATGAGGCCGAGCAGATTGATCGCTGGCAGTAAACGGAAAGTGATGACTGCTTTAGCGCGTGCTCCCCGATTTGTTGATCGGCCCATTTGCCGTGGCAACCCTGTTCCCCGTTTCCCGGCAAGGTCCCGTGTTGATCTGAGCGCAGGCCAACCTGGCAGTGATGTGAAAGGAACTCATTTACTACAGAGACCATCTCTGTAGTTCAGTGGGTTTGAGCTGCACCGCTGGGACACCAGGTTTGCAAAAGTGGGGAGGAGGAAGATTGATTAAGAGAGGGGCTTGGGAAGAGACTGAATTAAGAAGAAATACTAATGATACCTTCTCTGGATAAATGTCAATTCCAGTAATATCTCATTATGTCAATTGCTGGACCAGAAACATTACTTTGTTTTCACAGTGGTTTTGTGAAATATGATTCTTATCATAATGTTAGTGTCAGAATATTTTAATTATAATAACGTCAAAAACTTACTTTAACGAAACAGCGACATCCTCTGTTTGAACTGTGATGTTGTGTTGCTCATTATCATCAAATGTTAAATTGCTATGCACCTTAGTTATTTTGTTCCAATATCATCCTTCGCTCTCCTCTCTGTTCTCTGCTCTGTAATCACATACATTTCATACAACCAATGGAAGATGGAGGAGAGATTTCAAATCCCCTGTTTTCAGTGACTGCTTCTCTTTCCTTATTGACCTGGATGCTGTGAGTCTGGAGGCCAGCAGAGGTCAGACAGTGTCAGGAAGTGGATGTTAAGAAATGCGTGGACACTAATGTGCTTCTGAGCCAGGAGAGATTTCAATGTAGCATCCCCATGGCTTTCAAGAATAAAAACCAGCCCTTCCTTCCGGAGCACTAAACAACAAAAACAAAAAAACAATTGTACAAAACGGGCTGGCAGTACACTAGTGCATCACAACTTTGGAGCGGAAACACCAGCCTGAATCTGCTGCTCCTTCGACTTGCAGTTTTCCTTAGAAAACTTTTCGCCATTAGAGGACCCATCAAAGCTGAAACTCGCATAAGCTCTGACGTCAAATCACTCAGGTGAAACTCTTAGTGGAAGGAAACACTAAAGTCGTGACTAATTGTTTTTAATTTTATAATATACATTCTTTTTTAAAATATTGTTAAAAAGGAAAAGACATCAAGAGTTTTTCTATATTTATATAGCTAATTTCTGAAAGTACCACTATTTTCAGATTGGCAAAAAAGTGTCAAATTAATTTCCGATATGCAGTATTTGAAAGCAGATGGCAGTATAGCGAAAACTAGGGCTGTCATTTCTGCAAGCTGCTATTTCCTTTTGGCACCCTCCCCCACAGAACCCAAAAGTTGTTTTTCCTCTTTCTTTCTTTGCCAGATTGACGTCTAATTGGTCACAAACAAGTGTGGACCTGCAGCAGGTCTTCCGTGCACAGACTGTGAAGATGGTTGAATTTCTGTTCTCAGATTATGGAACGTGTGTCTGTTACAAATCTGGAAAGAAATCATGACCATAGCATTTATTATAGAAATAGAACTTTGAATGTGAGAATCCATAAAGGGATCAGTACACTGGTATTTCAACATGTAGCTCAACAATATCATGTAGAGTGGGATATATGAGACATATGAATGAGACATACATTGCACTTTTACATGGTGTGTTGAAATACATCGCACAGTTCATCGTTGCAGGCCTGTTTTCACAGCCAGCACCCATATCACACCACTGAAGCTCAGCAGGTGTGAGCCTGGTCAGTACCTGGATGGGAGACCTGGGAAAGCTAAGGCTGCTGCTGGCAGAGCTGTTAGTGGGGCCAGTGGGGGCGCTCGCCCTGTGGTCAATGTGGGTCCTAATGCCCCAGTTTTGTGACGGGGACACTATACTGTAAAAAGCCAGTCTTTGGATAAGAGTAAAACTCTCTTGTCTTCATTAGAAGTCCCAGGGTGTTTCACAAAAAGAGTAGGGGTGTTACCCCGGTGTCCTGGCCAAATTTCCTCCTGGCCTTTACCCATCATGGCCTCCTCATAATCCCCCTCTCTGAACTGGCTCCATCACTCTGCTCTCCTCCCCACTGAGAGCTGGTGTGTGGGGAGCGGACTGGCGCATCATCCAGGTGGGGCTGCACACTGGTGGCGGCAGTGAGATTCCCCATTACCTGTAAAGCGCTTTGAGTGGGGTGTCCAGAAAAGTGCTATATAAGTGTAAGCAATTATTATTAAAGACTTTTCACTCCTGAAAAAACATGAAAGCGTTGACAAATCAGTGTTAGCCATGAGCTATCAAACAGGCTTGATAGTTCAAATCCTCTCCTGTCACGTGTAAGCAGTGTTATGTTCTTATGACCCGATTCCAATATTCAGAATCATCAACGGTACTGATAAAGTCAGTCCAGCGGACATCGTCGGAATAAACAGTAAAACACAACTGTAGCACACAAATGGAAACTATATAGAAGTGTCTTTAAGACTAAGTACAGGAGGCACTACTTCACACAACGTGTGGAAGTGTGTGCCAGCTGTGTTCTTGAAGCCGAAATCCTGGTTTCTTTCAAGACGCAGCTGGATGAGATCCTGGGAGCAAAGAACTAACTACCAAACAGGCTAGAAGAACTGAGTACCTTCCTCTCGTTTGTAACCTTTCATGTGTTCTTATGATCATGCCTTCTTAACACCCTCCTCTCTAGGGTTCAACTCTCTCGTTGGAGGAATCATGGGCTTCTCCATTCTAATCAGCGCAGAAGTGTTCCGACATCACCCCAGAATCTGGTATCTGGATGGAACAATAGGAGTTCTTATTGGCCTCATCATTTTCGCCTATGGAGTAAAGTAAGTTTCCATCTTTTTTGGGGAGGGGGGGGTATAAATTGATTGGAACAGCAGAGTTCTGTATTGTGACATGACGGACGGTTTACAAAGAAAACATCTTAAACCTCATCGTGAATGACTTGAAGTTCTTCTTCCTAATACATGTGGTTTTGGCCTCTTTCTGCGATCAGACAGCTATCGCAAAGGCCTGCGTGAAGTCATTTTGGAATATGCGCTACAGAAGAATCCAGCACAGGTGAACCTTGGTCGTGGTGCTCATCATCTTACAAATGTGGGTCTTCTGCCGAGTATTTTGAAGGGAGTCGGTCTCTTATTGCTGTCGCTGGATGAATCCCAGTAATCCTGTATCCAACTGGCTTTTGCGTCTACAGCTGTTATGCGACACGCCAGATGGGTTTTTTGAATTGCAAAAGACAGTGCATTTTGGATGCCTTATGAGCCACAAGGGACCAGGAGGATAAACAAGTATTTGTCGAATTAGAAGAATGCTCATTAAGGAAGTGCAGTGAGCTTGAACAGGAACAGCAGTGAGATGGGACTTCCAGCAGGGCACGGAGCAGTCATTGTTGCAGGGCGAACCCTCAGTGAAAACAGCTCTTTTGGTTTGTGAACCCTTTAAAAACACAAGACAGTTCTGTTCTGAAAGAGGAAGCAGTTTTGCCCAGTCTTTAACAAAGATGGGGGCCTGCGGGTTCTCACTCCAGCTCAGCTCTTGGTCTAATTGAAGTGCTAACTGATGACTGCAGTTCATCTGTTGGCTTGTTTGGACTTGTGGTTTACTTGTTTCTGTGCACAGTTTCATCTCCTGCTTTAAGCTCATGATTTGTATCGGTTCGGCATTGAGAACTTTAATAGTCTCTCCTCAGCTTCCTTACCTTTATTTATGACTGCTTTGCTGTTAATAGCTGATAGATTCACGATGAACAGACACATGTGGGAGGGTCACCGTGTCAGACTGATTTTCCAGCTGCAGAGGTTCAGCGGGCTACATTGTAGCTAACACCCCTGATCCAGCTGAGTGCTGAATTGGTAGGGGACTGCGACCGGTTAAAAACCCAGACTTCTGAGGAGAGAGAAAAGTGAATGAAAAGAGTCAAATAGTCTGTGCTTAGGAACTCGGACTGCAGCCGCAGCAAGAAGACGCAGCGGTCTCTGCTGGCCAAGCTTAGGGACGGCTGGTTTAGTCACTGGTAGTGGGGTTTAACAGTCCGGCCAGCTGTCTCCTGCAGCAGCCCCTCCGACTGGAGCGGCGCAGCTGGAGGAATTGGCCTCTCTCTCCCTTGTGCCGCAGGCTGCTCATGGACATGGTCCCCCGCGTGAGGCAGACGCGTCACTACGAGCGGTTCGAGTGAGCTCCTCGGGCAGCGGGCGTGTGAGCGGAGCCCCGGGAGTCCTCCCGCCCCAGAGAGCCAACAAGCAGAGACGAGCCGGTGCCGGTGGCGCGTACATTCCGACGAGCTTCGCTTCGACATCTTCCCGCTGCTTTCGGGTCTCGGGCGTGGACGGGCCGGGAGAGCCAAGGAGGCAGGCAAAGAGACAGACCAACCCCGGAGGGCCTCTTTCCCTGCCTCCTCCAGGAGGACGGCCAAGGGTCTTACCTTCACAGCAGCCCCACGCTAGCCGCCCTTACCCACCAGTAGCTGAATACTTCACAGTCCACAAGAGCTGGCTGGCTCTCATTGCTGTACAGGGTGGTGTACTGTATACGTTATTTTCAGTTGCAAGACATCAGGATCGTACTCTCTAGCAGTGTTTTAGAATCATAGGTTGTTCGTAGTGACTTTGGTTAGAAAACGTTTATGAAACATGTGGCAGTACATATTCAGGCGCTTTTTTTCCTCCTGGGTTAAGTAGCGACAGCTCAGACCAGCCCCGCAGGAACCGGCCTGTAGGGGAATTCATGGCAGAAGAGCCGGATCCAGGCAGGCCTACCACAGCTGCTCAAGCCTCGTTCAGTCACGGACATCCCTTCATGTTCAGTACCTACAGTACGTGTTTCGAAAGACCTTATTACTAATTAGAAAGGTGTAAAATTAAATGAAAATTAAGGTCTGCGCGTTACACAAAAGAAAAAAAGAGAAGAAACACTAGTCTAAAAATATCACACAAGTCGAACAACATCTGAGAAAAAAGTTGCCGAAAGGGGACAAGGTTTTACGTGCCAGTCTCTCACTGAGGTGAAGCAGGATGGAGCCAGGAAACAGAGCCTTTGTTCCTAAGAACTCAAGTCAATAAAATCAGCACAAACGCTGCTCTGACTCACCTTCTGCCAGTAGGAAGCCACACAGCCAGTGTACACAATGTACACAAACACAGACTTTTCTTATATGGGACGAGATGCTGTGCAGATGCGATTGGCTTGTACTCACACTCAGTCAGTCAGCGGACACGCCTGCGAGCAGGAGGTGCCTCATCTGGGCTGCAGCCTCAGTGGGCTGCTTAGCATCAGATGGACGCAGTCTTAGGTAGAGTTACTTTTAAACAGTAATCCACTACCATTACAAGTTGCTTGTGAAGGCGATTACATTTCAAAATGAATATTCTGAGGAAAAGCACCATTAAGAAGTAACGCATTATTACTCCCCATAAATTCCATAGATCACTGATGACTTCTCCAAACGTTTATTTCATTCTAAGAAGGAATGCTTGTGTAATACCTTCCACTAGTAATCTGTAGCTGCAATGGATTACTCTTTAAAAGTAACTTTGCCCAGGACTGAAGGCAGGCAGTCGCTGGTGGGAAGGACTCAGTCTTGGTTAATCTTTCTGTCTCGGCTTTCTCTATTTTCACTTAGCAGAATAGAAAAGAAGAATTGGGGATGAAAATATTTTGTTTCCTATACGTCTTTATGGTGCCTTGGGAACTAGTATCTTAGATAAAAAGTTTTAAATGAGACTGAATTAGTGCCATTTATTGAATTGATAGACATATATATATATAAATGTTGCCTCTTGGTAATTGATCTTGTTTCCTTCATGTTTTTGGTGATGTTTTCTTGATTTCCAAGGTGAAGTATACCAGGTCTCGATGTGCAATTGGCAAACAAAACGTTCATTTTGACTGCCAAAGGAAAGATCAGGAACTAGGTGAAATGAGCTCACCTTTTTTCACCCAAGGTACTGGCTAGAGTTCAGGGCTGTCGAGAGGATTCTTGTTTTTCTCTTAGTATAGAAAATGTGATCTTAGCCGCTGCTTTTTCCCCTCATACTTTCTTCAATACCATTCTGTAAAAAAAGGGAGGAATTGCCTTTCAAAACATGGCAGCATAAACAAGCAGCACCCCAAGAGCCCTGGCTTGCCCAAGCATAGCCGCAGGCTGAGCGTCTCGATAGCAGCCCTCTCTCTGCCTGGGCTCACAGCAGGCTGTTGTGGGACATTGTCTTTGGGTAAATGTGCACAAACAGAATTGCATTCAGGCTGATTGTATAAAATACACTGAAGCGCAGACTCTAAGGCAGGATCTTATATTTCTGGTAGTCTGTCGGGATGTATACATACTGTATAGTGAAGTCATGCTTCAGTCTTTGGCAGAAAGGCCAAAGTCAAAATTATACTGCAGCTTCAGTCATCTTAGTGCACAATACATTATTTATTTTGTTGTTTTATTTTCTCTACAGGGATACCAGCAGCTATTGTAAATAAATATTGTAAATAGAAATTATAGTATGTTAATGCTGGGAGTGTCCGGGTGAGAAGGCTTGTAAAATTAGCTGAACAATCATAAGAAACCTTCATTTATTTATGACTATAGCCTTAGCAAATCACTGATTAGGTGTGATATTAGTCTTTTTACCTGTTGTGGGTATATTGTAAACTTTGGACCTAAGCTGTAGAATTTCATTAAGTCTGGTGAAACATGAAAATACTTTTGAGCTGACCATCACATTTTACTCTGTACTAAATTCTATATTTTTTAAATAAATGAATGTAAACTTATAGCACTATTTTCTTCCAGTCCTATCAACCTTTTTAAACTACTTTCCAAATTATCGTCAAGCCTCGCACTGTGTTTCTACAGTATTTGAAAGTCATAAAAGCAAATCGAGTGCAGCTCTCAGAATGACTGGAGCCGCCCTGTGAGGTAAAATTGGAGAAAAGTCTGTATTTACAGCACAAGAACCAAGAACAAGCACAGTCCCTGAATCATCCCTGAATCCTGACAATCTTTTTTGGAGCTGAACTATGACCTCAGTTAAGGTATTTAACAGCTTCGTAGCACATATCTAGAGCCCATCTCACATTCTCCCTTTCGAGTCCTTGTGTTTGAATTGAAAAATCCTCACTTAATTTTTGTCATCCCAGCAGATCCGCTGGCAGCCATGATCCTTCCTAATCCTGGGAAAGGCAGCGGTTCAACAAGGCCCGGGGACCTGTAGCATTCCCGACCAGCCCTGGCTGTGGAAACAAAAAAAGCACATTTTGTACAGTCCCGGAAGCATCTAAAAAAATCTCAACACTGTGTACATAAATTGGTGTTTCTGTGAGGTATTTTAATATTGAAACAAAGCGTCCTCAAAGGCTGTAGTACTTGTGAAATTATTAAATATAATTATAAAATATAGGAGGTAGACATTATGTTCTTAGAAGGCTAATTCTGAGTTAACTCGTGCAATGTAAAGTTTCACAAAGACATTTGTCCAGACGTAACTGTAGAAGCGCTGATGTACTGTAACTACTGCACCACATTCGTCAAAATTGCAGCATTTACTGTTTTTATCAGAACCCTTTTCAGCATGAAGCCATCTTTAATTTTTTTTGCATTGCACAATGAGTATTAAAAGACCTAAATGAAAAATCTTGTAGGCAACGTTATCATGCACCGAAATAATGGTATAATATACCCTTGCTTAATTGGGGTCTCATGGCTAATGGACATTTGCAACATGATTTTTATGAATGGTTGGAACTCTATGGAGTGGTGTGCTATACCCAAAACACTAATGGTAACTATTTAATATGTACTGTAGCAGGAGATCTCTTTTGTGGCAGTGGTGTTCTCGTTAATGAATTGGTATTTCTCGGCAATCAAGCATTGTTCATTTTTTAAGGTCCTACTGAATGGAAGACAAGATGCCCGATTAGCTTCTCATTTTCGGGAAAGCGAGGAAAAAGAGGACAGGGGATACACACGAGCACCTGCCAGCTGCTGTGCAGCTCATGAGGCTGGGATGAAGGCGTGTCGCGTATACTGTACATACCTCACCTCTGGCTGCCTGAGCCACAAACACTCCACGTGTTCCAAAGGCTCCTCCTCTATGGACAGTGGTTGACAGGGACAGACTGGTAAAGTGTAGTGTACAACTTGATTTGCGTTCACTTGGTCTGTAACATTAAGTGTGATGTGAAATGTATGTGACTACTGCATTGGTACTACTGACGATGTATACAGCCTGTGTATTTATAAAGCACACAAATGCTGCAGTAAGACATCTTTGTCACAGAAAAGGTTTATTGAAAAATAAAGATTTATCCTGCATTATTCATCAAAAACAGTGAAAACACATCTTTTGTCTGTCTTTATTTTACATAACTTTATATGACTAACCATCCTTTTCTATCAGTTACAAACAACACAAAATAACTGTGACAATCCAGGTTAAAAATAAAAAAAAGTCAATTCTGAAAATGCAGTGATGGATATTTGATTATTAGTTCCTTAAACAGGTTTTGCAATTTCTGTTAAATTAAGAGTCCCTCACCATCCCTGCTGATGATTAAACAAACAATTAAAAAACAATTGATTTTGGTGCTAATGTTCCAAACCAAAAAAACGCAGCACTGATGACATGCTCAGAATAATCTAATCTAAAAAAACAAGTGAACTGTCATTCTTTTCCAACAAAACTAGACTTCGGTATTATTCTACATAACTGCTCCTGTTTGTTCATTACAAGAGCATTGGTCACAAATGATGGTTTGTTCTCTAATAGTCTCTTAAATTAATGCATACTCTTGACCTTACCAAACTATTTCACAAAATGTACTCAGGCAGTAGTTTTTGAAGCTCTGTGGACAAAAAAAGCAAGTCTACTAACCATTAAAGGCACGTCATGTACTTTTTTAGAACAGTATCTTGGCTGCAGATATTTCTACCTCATTTACAAACTTTTAGCATTATAATGACAAGTAAAACTAAAATGTACAGTAGCAAACTCAAACGAAATATGAATAATCTGTATTTACAAATGTGCAAATTGAATTGCATATATAATTAAAAAATGAGGTTCTTGCTGGCATGTAGAATAACATCAGGTATATCCCTCCTGTATCATTTTTTTCCCATTAAAATCACCAAAAAGGTACTGATATGAGGACTGGCAAGATACACCTTGTATTTGAGATTCATACCACAGCAGAAACACGGTGTCAGTACGTCTCAATCTGGGTGGCAACCCAAGTCAAGCACTCCTGCGTTTTACTCCCCACATGTGGGTGGGTCCCAGCTGATGCTGGTTGCTAAGGCTGGAAAGGACATTCATTAGAAATATTTTGCTCCAGTTCAGATTCTGCTCTAAAGAAAAGAGCTTTGGGAAGCCCCTGTAAATATCTTATCACAGCCCCTTTTAAAAACAGCCTTCATTTCAAAACCGCCTGCCTTTGGTGCACTCAGCTAATTCAGTAACAGGCCCCTGACCCCGTTAGACTACGTTATGTGTACGTCTCTACCTGCGTTCACACGGATATGTCGTTGGTGGGCCACCTTGGTCGTTGCCTCAGCTGAATGTCAGTGAACAAGAAACAGCATCATCTACACTTTGCCAACACAAGGAAGCTCCACAGACACCAGCACGACTGACACAAGTGCTTTGCTTTGGACAAATGATCACTCTCACCCCACTTGAATATATTTTATACTTAGATATATAAACTACCTTATTTCCTTGAACTCTGTTAAATTATTGTTAAATAATAGATCTTTTCAAACAACTCTCCCTTATCTTTCATAAATAAAAAAATAAGCACACTAAGTTTTTCAATCATTCAGTTAAAGCAATAAAGTTCTGTATCCAAAATAAATAAAAAAAGAAAACCTCAAAGGAACAATATACAGTGTATTTATACCTTTTCAACTGTTGCAGAAAATATATATGGTAGTGCATTTTTTTCCAAAACATTTTAAAGTGTATTTTTTCCCCCTCTACACACTAATTTGAAACCAGATTTTCAGAAATCTAACACTGAACATCTCTGCAACAGGGAAGAGTCTAAACTATTTGGGCCGAAGCCAGTATCCTTGGCTGTATCTTCAGTAGTCTTCTAGTACTACATGTTTTATGATAGAATATTTCTGATGCTAAAACTCCTGCTGTGCCAAACTGCAGGTTCTTGGTGGTGTGAAAGCAGAGAGTCAGCACCAAGTCCCACCCATAAGGCAAAGTCTTTCCTTCAAGCTGCATTCTGAATTTGCTGTCACACAGCAACATGGAAATGAAAATGTTCAACTACATTATGAAGCACAGGCTCAGCAACATTATCCACTCCGCAAAACAATCTGACTGGACATTTTAAGAGCTTTTAAACATTTTTTTCTCTTCCGTTTAAATGATGATGGGTGGGTCAATGTGAAAGAGGCTGAGCTTGCCCTCACCTGGTGCTTCAGTCAGCTCAGCAGCTGCTCATTCTAGGGACAGCTGTCTACAATGTGGTTTATATAGAGGTGAAACGACAAATGTGGATACAACCACAATAATTCAATGCGCACTGCAATTAGCATTTAGTAAGCACACCTTCAGAGCTTCCTAATAAATCTAGAACAGGACTGCAAACACCCCCTCTTCTATCAAGGACTGCAACTGGTCATAGAAGGCAGTACATTTATAGTACAGTATATAACAGAACTCCGATACACTGACACATACAGTTAACATTCTTTTCTAGATTGTTATTTTCACTATTAACTGAGGACAAACTAGCGTAAACCTACTATCTACTAATGGTGGGGATCGTTCACCATTGTAAATTTTATCCAGAACAGGAGATGTCGTTGGAAGAGCCGAGCTCTGGAACGAACGTTATCCATTTGTTAAATGTGACATCTTGTCCATTGGTCCCCTGTTGCAATGAAGAATTTGGTTCCAGAAACGGATCCCCAGACAGTATAAAGGACTGCCGAGTATTTCACCTCTGTGAATGCTTGAGCACCACTACCAGTCCAACGTGGTGGTAGAAAGAGTCTTATACTCTTGGCCTCTTCCAGCGCGCTGTATTCAAGTATTTCAGACAGATCTGAGCTTTTCCAAGCTCTGTCGCCCGAGCCACATTAAAAGCACTGTTTTGTCAGTGTCCCTGTGCATCTCTCGCCCAGAGCTCTTCTACCTCTACCTTTTTAAGACGCTTCAGATTTGTTTTCAGACAAACTTGTTTTTCCTTCAGAATTTTTGGCCGGGGAACATGAATAATGGGGGGGGGAAACAACAACCTGTTGCGTCTACAACTAGCTTTCGGAAGAACGGATGTTCTCCGTGTTGGGGAAGGACAGGAAAGAGATGCACTTCGCTGACGGTGTGGCTCCAGCAGTGCGTCTTCTCCCAAGGGTTCACCGTGGCACAGCAGGTCTACATATTGGCCTCTGTGGGTGTGCCTTCTCTCCCTGCTCCATGGCACGGGGCAGATGCTATAGACAGTCCTGGCAGAGAGCAACCTGTCCTTTCATGTAATCCCTACAAGGACAGACCCGTTTAAGGCTTGGATGGGCTCCAGCACAGCTGAAAAGCAGCAGGTCCCCCTGGAACACACAGTGCTTCTTCCCTTCGTCGTAAGCTGGCACAACTATGTCATTTATCGACTCCACTGTCTGGCATTCAATTCCATACCTGAAGAAAATTAAAACAAAATACAAGATAAAGATTAGAACAGGAGATTTCAATAGCATTGTGTGCTTGGGGTAAACTAGTTAAACCACGATGGGTTGTGGCCAAGCCTTTTGATTCTGCACCAGGCCAGTGAAGCATGAGCAGAAACAGCAGGTTGGCTTCAGCAGGCAAGTGAGTGGCTGTACTACAGGGAGAGTAGTGGTGGGCTACACTGATCCTACCATGCTGGATTCTGGCAGATATCCGAGGCACCTTTCCATCAGCAAGTGAGTCAATGAAGGTTTGAGACAGAATGCAAACCAGAAGCAAACACAGTTCTGTAGGACTGGACCTGCCCACCCTATGAAATCCATGCAGATCAGAGAGCCTCGGGCCTGGCTGGGTGTTTGTATGGTGATCTACGCAACTACCGATAAATAAAAAGCCTGTCATTAAGGCAGAACTGCAACATGGGATGGTCTGACTGTCAGCTGTCCTGGGTTAGGAGCAGAAAATTGGAGCTGATCCTCAGAGACGTACTATATACTGAACCTCTAACTTAAGAGTGGGAGATAACTGCAGAGATGTCTTTGAAAGATGCTCAACAACGTAGTAAAAAAGGCTGAGAGATGACTGGCTGGACCAGTGTATCAGCAGAAGGGTTTGCTAAAACTCACCCTCTGTGCTGAAGAAGCAAGAGCCTATGAGCAAATACCACCTTCTTCCATACCAAAAATCATCAATTAAGGACAGTCTTTGTGGACTGAAACCTCAAAGGTGTTTGAGCGAACTCCTTTTATTTCCTTTAAGGACCCACCAGGGAGTTTTTCTATCTCTGAAATGTATTATTTGGTTTAGAGAAATCAGTTCTCAGTTTGGACCCAGTTTCAGACATCAGACTGTCCTGCGGAGGGTCTTTTGTTGTGTCAAAACCAGTATTTACTCCCTAAGTTGCTATGTGGCTTAGTATGCCTAGGCGTGGGTCCACCTTTGAGGAGATACGGGAGGCCAGGACTCAGGGATTCACAGGATTTAGAAAGTCTGAAATGTTAATGTAAGTGTTGTAAATAAACACTCATTTGTCTTTTAGGTTTGTGCCTCATCTTTGCTCTGCCATCTCACTGCACTTTAGGGAAACTAAGAAACTGTGTGATCTGCTTGATCATTCAGTGAGATTATTCCTAACTATAGGAGATGCGTTAACTGGTGTTTTAAATAGCTGAAAGCTCTTTGCTTTCGCACACGTGCAAGAAGGTGGATCTTGCTCGTGATGCGCTGCTTCTTCAGCTCCAGGGTGAGAGGTTGAGAGCGATTGAAAGTGAGTTTTGGCCAAGCCTACTGCTGAGGCTTGTATTTAAGGGATACAGCACTCCTGTATGATAAAAGTATCCACACTCTAAACACTGTGAGCAGGACATTATTCCTGTATGAGTGTAGATCTCAACTGTGTCACCAGGCATCTGTCCCTTTCATTTGAGTACACACAGAAGATTCGGTGTGACCTCTGCTGGGCAGAAGGTGGTATTACAACTGCTTTCAGCTAACAGAAGGCTGCAGCTGGGAAAGCATTTAAACTGATGGAACTCGTAACTAAATAAAGGTCCAGATTCCTTACAGGATTTAACAGTGCGCTCATCCTTTCTGTTAAATATTCCCATTCTGTTGATGAATGAGTTTGGACTGGGTCACAGCTGATTAACACGCCTTTCTAAAAATACTGGGCTGGAAAACCACTGACCATCTTTAAAAACACAGAATTTGGTTTCAAAATATATTTAAAGCTTCAGACTACATCGAGCTTTCCTCAAACTGCCAAACAAGTCTATTCAATGCCAATCCACCTTCAAATTAAAATCTAGCTTTGCAGATTTAGACACACATTTCTATACAATTCTATGCCATTTGGTGTTATTTCCAGGTAAGACATAACTTATATAGGTCACGGGTGACATGCAGGAAAAAGTTAATGGACAATCAAATTTTTCAGATACAGAAATGAACAAAAGTAAAAAAAAAAACTTTGCAGGGGGATTGTAGGGAAGCTATCACAGAGACACAGCTCATATTCCATTGAGTTGCGCAATCAGCTGATGATGAACACTGAGAAAGAAAGTAAAGGTCTATTCCAGACGGAAGAGTAGAAAGAACCCATTTTGTCTGTTGGGCCTCTTCAGGACGGGTTTCTTCAGGGTGGAATGAACCTTCACTTGTTTGTTTGCAGCCAGCTCCCTGCGTGAATGTCTGTTTTACCACGGGTCGCAATATAAAATCTTTATTTTAACACAGAAAATCACACTGTTGCCAAACATAGTCTAGAATAAAAACACAGCAAAAGAGGGATTTAACAACTTCTCTTTTAATGTTAGATCCCTATTCCTGAATGTCTCCTATGATAGAAACAGGTTTTCATTCAATGTTCAGGTTCATTTTTCTATTTATAATCTGCTTTCGACAAGAGACTTCTTAATTTTTCTAATTAATGACTGCACCTTTAATTTCTGGGACGTGACACAATGTATAGAAATATACAGAAATTCCAAATGTGTATAGACAGCCGTTGAAACAATACTTATTTGGTGAAAGAGAAACAGGTGCACAATTCGCAAGCTTTTTATGGTTTAGGAGAACACATCATTTTATCTAGATTCAATAAGGAGTTTTCTGCTCATGAGGCAAGTGTTGACCTTGTGTAACCTCTCGCCCTGCGGACGGACCGGCCACACTCACCTCACAAGGTCCTTGTCCTTATTGAGGTGCTGGAAGAAGGAGGGCTCACAGATCAGCTGCTCCTCCTGGCACACCTGCTTGCAGGACTTCCCTGGGTCAGCGGACTTCACCTGCAGCGCGCTCAGAGGAGGCCACATCACCTGGCCGTGACAGAAATCCTGCAGAGCGGCACAAGACACAGGGCTTCAGGCTCATGGCAGGACTGTCTCCCTCGGGCCCCGTGCTGTCCAGGCCAAACTGCTCACTGGGATGGGCCTGGGAGCCGGCTCATACGCTGCCTATTCCGCGGGCCGCGTTCTGTAAAAGGCTCTGCTGTGTTACAGTGCGAGGTTTGACGCTGCCAATCCACACCAGGTACTTTGAAGGCTCACTGACAAGCGAGCAGATGTGATCAGGAGAAGACAGGGTGACAGCACTGCTACCTCACAGCTCTTGGGTCCTGGGTTCAGTTCTGGACTGGGACACCTCCTGGGTGCAGTTGCTCTGCCCTTCGTGTTTGTGTGGGTTTTCAGCTGGTGCTTCAGTTCCCTCTAACTTCCCAGAGACATGTTGGCTAGGTGGGCTGAGGTCTCTAAACTGTGTTTGTGTCTCAGCCCTGTGCCAAGAGTATACATGCTTGCTCTGTACCCCCTCTTGCTTGGACAGGTTTGGATTTTCATGACCCTTGACAGGATAAGCAACTTTCTGATAGTGAATGGATAATTAATGCAGAATTACAGAGCCTACAAATTATACTAAGTGTAAAGTACAACAAACAATATTCTTGGTATAAAAATCTGCATTTAACAGACACTGATCACAGAAGGATGGAAACAATAATAGAGATACAGTAATGAGATTATTCATCTCATAACTGCCCTCTTCACCTTTGTACTCTTCCTACTTTAACACCTACAGTCTCAAACCCCATAATGAATCATAATTAAGAGAAATTCGGAATAGAACAGAAAAAAACAGGTTAGCATTAATGATGTAGCTCTCCAATACATGGTGTGAAAAATACAAAAAATACAGAAAAGCTAACAATATAACTGTGAGTTGTCTGAGTGGATGAGTTGGATGTCTAAAGGGATCTTTATAAAGGGATGTCTAAACCTTGAACAAAATGCTGCATGTATCTGAAGTTTTCTATTTGGGAACATGCAGTGCCCTCAAAGCACAAGTGTCACAGTGATCCCTTATAATGCTGGACTAATTTATCATGGGAGGATAACTGCCGGGGAGCCAAGAAAACTTTTCACATGGGCTCACGGCAGAAGATGAATGACATCTGTGTTTGGGAATGTGCCCTCTCCCCTCACTGCCTTTGCCGTCATGTAAAACATACAGTTTCCCATGTCCTGAGTGCGATCGCTCTACAACAATCCCCCAGTCTAGGAAGGGTACCTTCTGACCCTTGGGTCCTGAGCAGTCTCGTGAGAGCTGCACAGTACAAAGGCAACAGACAGAGAAAAGGAACACGAGATAAAATGTGTCCTTTGTGTCAAGCACTGGTAAAAAAGCCTGAACACTGGCTACAACTGAACTACGGCCTGTGAGGAGAACAATCTTCCCCTGTTGCATAAGACTGCTTGTTACAGACGGGTATCCTCGGATTGAACTGACTACCGAGCCAGATCACTGGACCAGCAGTATGTCTGAAATAAAAATCTGTATGTTTGAACAAATGGTCACACTAATGAGACTTCCTTTAGCAAGAGGCGGGTGAAGCCAGTGCTCCACATCTCCTTATTTACACGAACAGAGAAATCGCCTCATTAAACGTGCAGAGAAATAAGCCACAGAGAACAGCAGAACCTGCTGATTGATAACTGAGATAAGCTGGCATTTCTTTGACTCAGAGGTTGATGGGAGCCTCGCTGTTGAAACTGACACCCTGGTTTCTTTCAAGAAATGACCGGATGAGATCAGTGAATTGACTAGGCACTAACTACCGAATCGGCTAGAATGTGTTTGATTTTTGATCACATTTTGAACTGGCGTGCTTGTGGCCACTGTGAGAAAATACATGTTCAAACCTATTTATCTGTATTCTTCAGCAAAGAGTTAAAGGGAAATAATCCGACCGCTTCACACTTCAAACAGGGAAAGAAACTGAACGATACCTGGTGCTCAATGTAGGCATTGACTCGCTGTAGCATTCCCTCGCAGGTGAACTCATATGGCAGATAAGGCTCAATCTGTGCAAGAAATCAAGATAGAAATCATATTTTTATTACACCTTCACACCTGAAGAAGGCTCCATGGCCAAAACATTGGGCTTTCTTTCTTCTCTTTTCAGCATGGAATAAACCTATTTCTTGTTCCTTAAATAATAATGTTCATCATAATGGTAAGACAGCAGAAAGCATCTGATTTCTTTAACATTATGCAGCTAGACACTTAAGGAGCTCCTTTACAAATCTTCTTTATTAAAAAAAGATTCTGGATATTAATTTCAGTTATATTTGACACTGTAAATAAAAAAGTTCAGTTTGACAACCCCTAAAAATCATGATTTCCTTAAAGCTCCAATTTGAAAGATAAAAAAATCAGCACATATGAAAGATATTTTCAACATAGAAATGTGAACATGAATGCGGAATTTTTTACAATCTTCAGTCATATTGCCATTTTGCTACAAGACACACCTTACAAGACCATTTACACCTCACTTCATAACAGGAACATTTCTTCAGAGATCAGAAAGAATAACAGATCCAACAATGTACACAGGCAGAATATATTCCATTGAAGGGTTAAATGGTACTGTTTATAAAGCCTGTAAATTACTTCACGTGGACAAATAAAGTGCTTCATTTTTAAAACTTTCTTTTTCATCTCATTTGAGTATAAATTGCTTGTTATAAGACTGCACTTGTCACTACAAACTTGAGCTCCTCATCGAGTTTAAAATGTCCAGATAATCCAAGACTCTCTCTTTCCACTGACAGTCTGAGGAACCTGATACCACAACTGTGTGTCTGTGCTTCTTGGCACTGAGGAGCACCTTGAAGGGAGGGTTACACAAGCACATGAAGAACTCCAGTGTTCCTGAGCCAGGATTCATTCATGGAGTGAAGTCATTGTGCTCTCAATACAATAGAACGCACTCTCCACTGTCACTGGTCATTCTCTTAGGGCAGTGAGCGGAAGGCACCGAGTATCATGTTTCGCTGTTCATATTCTTCAGCTATACTGTGGGGAACACATCCTGATGTCTGTACTTAGTATCGCACCAGTCACGCAGCCTGCAAATCGTGACCCAGTTTTGTTAATCACCACTGCTAAATAAGTGCTATAAATTATTAATTACCTGTAGTTTGGAATTTACCACTTCAAGCTCTATTATAAAACTCTTAGTATGTTAAAGATCAACAGCTTTATTTCAATCTACTTAATATTAGACATCACGTTTCAGAACTACTCATACTGCTCTATAGTTCACGATGACAGGACGTTCAAACAGACACACACCAGGAACACACATATCTGTACCTTCTGGCTGAGAATCGCCCGGATTGCTCGCTCCACTTCTTCAGAGTCATCTATATTAACAGTCCAGACGTGAGGCCGGCCGATATACACCTCTGCATATGGATGCTGAGATGTTAGCTATAAGAAAAACACATTCCACTAATTTAGGTCATCTTCATTGTTGTATATTTGTTGTGAATTGCCTGTACCTGTTAAAAAGTTATGCACAACACTCCCATATACTGTACAAAACAAGCCACGATGTGCTAAAATATCATAGCAAATGCTAAGACTTGGCTCATCAACACTGGAGAAGGCCAAGACAAATCCCATTTAGCACACCAGCAAAGCCCTCAGCCTAGCCATCAATAAAAAGTGCATGATGAATATGAACATATTTCTTAACAATTTGGCACAATTTGTCAGTGCTTGCTGGCAGAGAGCCAGGATTCAATGGGAGACTTTCAATGTCATTTCACAGAAGCCTCCCATGGGTCCTGCTGGCTTGAATCCTGAATTGTTTCATTTTCTTGAATTTCTTGATTTTCAGTTTCAAGTCTTATAAGGTATAAGCCCAGTGTAGAAAAGAAAAAGAGAGATATTTTATCTAACAACACAGTCCAACACAAAAATGCCTCACCCCAGGTTATCAAGCTCATCGTAACTATTTTGAAAACACAAAGAAAAATATACATTGGATCGTCAACACCTTCCAATGAACAGACCTGACCCAACAGAAAACTTATTCCTACTAAAACTTCTGATCTTATACTGTAAGATGCCACGTGTTTCTGAGCAAACAGCTGGATGAGATCTTAAGATCCAGTAGCCACTAAACGCCATACGAGTTCAATGGGACAACCTGCCTCACGCTCTTGCATTTCCACGATGAAGTAAACGCTGGGGCTCCTGCAGTGGGCAGGCATGTCTGCTGCTGCTCTAAGCAGCTCTGAAGCACTCCTGACACTGGCCCACCCTCCTCCGGAAACAAGGGGCTGCAACACCCCACAGAGCGACACTCACCTCCCTCAGAGTGGGCTTGCCTTTGAAGAAGTCCGTGTTTTTGCTGCTCTTTGGAGGATTAAACTTTGGATTCAGGAAAGCACAGCCATTAGCGATGGCTTCCAGGGGAGCTGGGCCTTCATAGGGAAAGGACAGCCCAACAAAGAGCTGGAAGACAACAAGAACATCTCGTTACAGTTCACCTGCGTTTATTACTGCATGGCAGTGGTGGAACGTGTTTAGGAAGGTTTCGTGGGCATTCAAGTTGACAAAAGCCAACCCCGGTCAGTTTCACAGCTACTGAGGTGTGCCATTCAAATTTATTACAGAAGCCGTCTGCAAAATAAAGTCAGCTTTTGGGCACATGCTTTTGTCTCAGTTTTCTTTTTGACGTTTTTGACAGGACATTCCACTGCTTATATAAAAAGGACCAATGTTGAAAAAATATTTCATTTTTCATTGCCATGTTATCTTAACTCAAAACCACTGTATACTTCCTTGTTTTATATAGTATCAGTTACTATTAGGCACATTTTAGCCATAAAGTGTTCTTCTTCATTACAGAAATATCAGCTTTACTCTTTACTAAAGATAAATGTAACATTTTTCTATTTTATTAATCAAATGTTACAGTTTTTTACAGATAAAAAATCAATTTTCTGGGGGACAAAACATCCTATTCAGCCTAAAGAGTAAAAAAAAACAACTTTCTTTTAGTGGCTTACCACCATGCTGTAACAAGTACTGAGCTAAACGTTTCTTTTTTAAAAGCTTCAAGTGCATCACAATTAGCTGCTTGTTTTAGCCCACAGAAAGGGCACATTAGGTTTATGCAAAAATAAAAGGGGCTGGCTGTAAGGCACTGCTCACAATAGTCCTTCTGTGGCTAGCTGGAGAGAAGGCTATGGAGGAACCAACCAAATGAACAGAAGGTCACTTCACAAAAACACATCCAACAACAGACCCTTTCATTTTCAGGCTCTGTAAGGCGTGATTCAGCAGTTTGATTATATAATACCACATGCAGTAAGGCAAATCAGGAGATACTGTAATTTATCAGATTGTGAAGTAAGGGCACAAGTATGCTTCTCTGCCTGTTTTCATCTGTTGGTTGGCAGGGGCTGCATTTTCAGAACATCTGTGATGCAAAGCCTTTGTTTAGACAGCAGGTGGCAGTAGAGATACGTTTGCTAGATTGCATTCCTTTAGCACAAGGACACCATAGAATTTGGATTAAACTTCATATACAGATACAGAAAAAAAACACCTTCAAAAATGATTAAAAAAAAAGTTTTATAAGTAAAAAGCAAAATATTTTGCTGTGTTTTCCACAGTCAAATAGTAAGAGCTTTAGTGCTTCTTATTCTTAAGAGTACAGCCTACAGCACTTCCAGATTGGCTGTTTTGCATTGACAGACACTGAATGTGATACCATTATACAACAACTATCAAAAACTTAGACAATATGCCCCTCCAAACATCTAATTGTTAGAAAACTTGCAGTAGATGAATCCAGTTTCTGTCCGGAATACTTAATATTCTCAAGTGTAGAGAGCGGTTGATATGACTGAATGAATTAAAAAGGGTCTGTTAGTGTGCTGGTTTCGAGTCTGTGGCATGAAGTGAAATGTGAAAAACTCTCAGAGGTGTATATGTAGGTGTAAAGCGTTCTCAGATAGGTTATCACACTTTAACAGAGGAAACGTTAATGGGAGTACTCTAATGATAAAGGATGAATAGAAAAGAACTGAGGACTCCCACGCTAAGGCTCAACATATAATAAGAGACAATATAACGTCTTTTATTCTCATACGCCAAAATCCACCAGACAGCAGTAATCCATCAATGCACCTCATTGTCTGAGCTATTTAAAACACTGCAGCGGAAGAGAAAGTGCGATTTGGCTTTCAAAACTCACCGAGTGAATTGCGGATTGACAGACAGAAATAATTCTGCACAGGATGAGAAACTGCTGCAGAGGAGCCCTCAGGGAAATCAGAAAGGGCTCTGGGACTTTCTATTTTTGACACATCAAGTTAGCCGAGGGCACAAGATGCTAAAACACCAAGACACACTTGAAACAGTTGCTTCTCAGTGGCAGGTTTGTAGGAGCGAGGGTTCAAAGGCCAAAGATAGAAAAGGCAGATCTTTCTGGTACTGAATGCAGCACCTGGAGAGAAAAGGGCATCATGTTGACGATGGATCATGTGGTCATGGCAACGAGACATATCACAGAGGGCCATCTGGCTTTGAGCTGTGACATGGCCTGACCGAATCCAGTTCTGCTTTTACTCTGCACACCAAACACATCCAGGACCTTGTGTTGAAGCTTAGCCAAGCTCTACTGCTAGAAGAGATTCTGTGCAGAATATAAATGTGCCCAGAGCACCTCGGGTTTCTCTTAAGCATTAAAAAAAGGTCTGTAAATGATATCTGGACAAGCACATTATGTCCTGGCTACTCACAAACAGCTCAAGAGCATCAGTGAGGTTTGGAATACTTTGTAACGATATAAGTCATTATACCATGATCCTGTACTTAAAATTTAGGAGTAGTGCGGTATAGTTTTCTATTCCACAATACTCTTTCATCCACAATATACCTTGTGCACCATGGTTTTGGTACTGTAATGTGCTCTTTTGCAGTGTGAAGATGAAGTTTATAATTGCCCACCCAATAATGTACAGGACAAACTGTACTGTACCGAGCTCTGAAATTATAGTCTTGAAAAAAATAACAGATTTGCACTAGTTTGTAATTTTCTCTTCTCCACCTTTTTCTACAAACCTTGTCAAAACAATTCAATGCTTACCACAACTATTAGAAATATTAAAACTGCCTACACCTCAAGCCTCCGAGAATAACAAAAAAACCCGATAATTCACTGTCATTCAAGCTCTGCCTTCCATGATGCTTCTGTTTTTTTCAGGAACGAGATTAAAAAATTCACACCTTACAGATTTTTCCTCCAAAAATGATAGGCATGTTTATACCTGTAAATCATATACAACAGTTTGCAAAAGTGTTCACCCCCTTGATAATGTCTTCTTGAGTGGTCCCATCAAAATCCTGTCTTGAATCTGATCTGTGGCTTGACACAGCAAGTTAGCCGAGGGCACAAGATGCTAAAACACCAAGACACTCGAAACAGTTGCTTCTCAGTGGTGTCTGTCTGTCTGTCAACCATCTCCAACCACACTTCAGAGAGGTTAAGCAAAACTTCTGCTAAACCTCTCATTGTAGGATTTTTTCATTTGCTACCAAATGAGCTTCCACAGAATATCAAATCTGTACAATGTCTAAGCATGTTTGTTACAACATTTATACAGTAATATGCAAAACTACATACACTAACAGTATATCTCATTCTGTAATATCCAACAACACTATAAACCACACCATGGCTCATTAAACTTAATTTAATACTTTTTATAGTCTGAATGTTAAATGTTCCAATTGCTTTGAGCTACAGTATGCTTCCTAAAGTAAATTATTTTGAGCAAGTAAAATAACATTTGTGGTTGAAAAAACACTCAAAAGAAGAGGGAGTAAAAAAAAGTGACAGCATTAAAAAAAACACATCTGTAATGGAAAGTGTTACAGAAAATGGAACGTCTGCTCCTGTAGAAATGTCATATTCACTCCAGTGAATTTTTTTATAAACTTAATTATAATGTTAAGCTCTATCAAATTTAGGCAAATGTTTGCCTTATTATAAACTACCAATAGGCCTTCATGAATCAAAAGCTATAGATTCAGACTACCGGGTGAAAATAATTGCCGCTTGTTTCAGTCACCAGATAGCCAGTCACACAATCTTGTGCTGATGCAAACTATTCTGTGCCCAGACAAAACTTTCTTTCTAAACTGCTTCACAGCGTGGAAGACAAGAGAAACACCACCCTAAGCAATATCATGGGGCGACTAATTTCATGCATCTCCCAAGAGGAAGATGTGGCAAAAGTCTTGGCGGGCCAGTGATACTATGCTTGGAGAGATGTTTTGATTTTCAGAAGTTAATTAAGAAAGGTTCTGAAGCTTTTAATCATTCCAAGGATAAAACGACAGGCAGCTTAACAGGGAACACCATCATAATGACCACCGCGGGTCTCGTTTAGGTCCAGACCATTTCTACTGCCTGTCCTGTGAGCAGAACCTCCTGCCTGCTTCCCCACAGCAGTGTGACTGAGAGGTTAGCCTGACAGTCTCCTGTATCGTGCCGGCAGCTCTGCATCGATCCTGACACTCACCTTCGTCTCCCTCAGGAGGAACTGCAGGTCTCGGCCGCTCAGAATACCATGGTTCTTCACGTAGCTGGGCAGGTGCACCGTGCTCGTCCCGTGAACCGTGCCATGGACTTCTGTATAGGTGTGGATGATGTCCAAGTAGGTCTTCTTGTCCTACAACAAGCAAGGACACAGTGAAGAGTCGGGCTACGAAAGTGAAAGGCACTACAGTGAGAGGGAGAGGGAGAGGGAGAGGGAGAGGCTGCCACAAATCGTAACAAACTGTGCACTGCAATCTGATTTAGAAATGGCTTCCGCAAAACGGACATTTTTATCAGCAGTGTTTGCCTCCAGAGTCACTGGTTAGCTGAGGAACGTGCATCTCCCGCTACAGCCGTGCTGCGCAGGCAGTGGGACACACACACAGGGTCCCAGGGGCTGAGGAGTGTGTGTGGCAGTACGACCCCTGGCTGAGGTTGTGTATGGAAGCAGCAGGTCCCCTCATCCCTTTATTGGCCAATAGGGATCAATGATCAACAAAAACATTTTAAAATAAACTTGTTAAAACATGCAAACCTAACAATACATGAACCTTTTGGTCAAGCACCCGTTCTTTACCGATTAAAACAAAGAATGGTAAAAAGCCTCCGAAGAAGCTTTCTATATCTCAGGCCAACATGAACAGGCTGTGAATCCAGCAGGTCTTAGTTACAGTAAAATCTGAAACTTTGACCCCAATGTGCTGCAAAGAAAGCAAACTAATCACAGTGCTGACTTTCACTCAAACATAAGAATACTTCAATATGACTACAGCTGTATTACTGTATATACAGATGTCCACGGACTAGAACGTTACCTTTATACATGTAAAAGCGGAATTAGAAATCTATTTAGTAATTCTACTTCCTACCATTGTGAAACATAATTCCCATAATTCATAGTGACTGCTTGGATGCAAAAAAAGCACCCTAATACCTAAAGATGCTTCCTTTATAATGCATGATAGTGGAAACACTTTAAAGGGATTATAACATGTATTGCCATGTATCAATGTATTGGAAATACAGTGTACTGTATACAGACAGACCTCTGAACAAAAGCAAAAGGCACCTCTGAAGCACCCTACTTGCACAGCCCATCAGAAACCCAAAGGGTGTGATGTGACCACACAAACAGCGCCAAAAGACTGGCACCTTGGCACGGCAGGTTTACAAGACCCTGCCATAGTCTCATTCTACACAGCTGTCTACTTCCTCATACCAGTGATAACCTACTGGTTAGCTTCCCTATCTATTTAAAGTGCCCACAGACGGCTCATTATCAGACCTGACATTACGCAATATGTGACAATATCCGAGGGACCGGCAGATAACCTGGTGAACAAAAGGCCACTGCTCATTGTGTTAACAAATAAAAGCATTGAGGTCACTTTTCTCAACTTGAAAACTCATCACATTGAAAAAAAAACAATGAGAATGGGATCTGTCATGTATTAGCAAATAAAATAATTGATATATTTACAAACCCATAACCAGTTTATCACCGTTAAGATTGTTTATGAAATTACAATATTAAACAAAACAGTTTCAGTTTTCTTCACTTGAAATAATAGAAACCTACATTTCTCGTTAGTTTTCAGGAGTAACTTAAACCACAAGAAAGTTAATGTGATATAATATTACAAAATTAAGGGGATAATCTGTTTTAAATGTGGCCTGGTTTTCAATATTTGGATAAAGATATATTGAAACACTGTTGTTTTACATTTTAATGAAGGGTTTTGCATTCTGTACCATTTTAGGGACAAAAAAAGTGTACTTCCTGTTGTGTACCACACATCTTTCAGAAGAATTCAGACAACACAAGAATCCAGGAATAAGCACAATGTGTTTATCAGTCAAAATAAAGAATCTATTTGTGCATAGAAAATTAAACTCTAAATTGTTTTAAAATCTGGCAAGGTATAGCCATGACTCATTTTCACTGGAGAAATAGAGATTCTGAGCAGGGATTAATTTTCCAAAATAAAACTGTACAAAATGATCTCAGAAAAATAAGAAGAGCTGAAGAGCTTTGCTGTTAAAAACAGTATGCGTGGTTTATAAAGCCTATGATTTTTGTTGACAGCTGAAGGATTTCACTTTTGTTTCTGATCCTACAGATATGTATTTTTGTACAATGTATCCCCTTGCCCTCATTTTTTCCTTCCAGTTTTAATTTACATAACATTTACTGAACACCGTAACACGAACGGAGATTTCAGGATCATCAGGTGAACAACTTTCAGTATCAGTTCTCTGTGGCACAATTTACTGTAAAACATCCCAACCCCAAAAAAGGCACAACAGGCACTGATATATTACTTAGAAGAGTAGGCTTTGTTCAGAGTTGAATGTAAAATATTAAACACCTCACCTCTGAAAAGGCTCTGTTCCACAAGATGTCTAGAACATCCAACCCACAGTGGGGCAATATTAACACAGAAACTTGCAATACCAAAAAAACATTTGTCGTTTAAATTAAACTTGCATGCTGAAAAAGAGCAACCAAATGACAGTTTACACAGATGAGAGAGTAATGAATTATTAAAATCTTTGAAAATGAAAAGCATGTCATGGAAAAACAAACATCAGTTGTAATGAAACAGACTATAGGAAGGGATTGCCCAAAAAAACATCTGCACAGAACCTTGTACTGTGAGATTCAATCACTACAGTTGATACAGTCTGTTACACTTTTAAAAAAGTGGTTTTAATACCAGTAAATATCTCAAACCGTAACAAAGACTCCTATGTAATTGTCCTATGTAATGCCCCTGTTTTCAACAGTTCTGGTACAACCATCATTACAGAAGACACCAACTAGGTGTTTTCATTTAGGCAAATTTTCAGATTTAAAGTAGCCAGTCTTTAAAACTTTCTAAAAGTTGTCATTCAGATACCTACAGTACTATGACTTAATTTCCCAACGCAGAGATGTCTTACAGACAATTGTTGTTTGGATAAGCCTCACCCTTCATAAGCTTCTTAAAACGTACGGGGAGTAGAGCACATGCAATCGACACGCAATCAAGTGCTCAGGTTCTTTAAAGTCTTCAAGTCTTTTCTTAAGTCATGTTTTTTCAAAAGTTAAGTCAAAGATCAAAGTCTGAAGTCTGAAATTACATTAACCACGAGGACATTACACTGTAGCCCACATACGTGCCATCCTCTGGATGAGATGTAGAATTAAGGTCCTGACTCTTCGTAGTCATTAAATATCCCAAGGCGTTTCTCAAAAAGAGTAGGGGTGTCCTGGCCAACTTTTTCCCTGGCACTTCCCAATCATGGCCTCCTAATAATCCCCATCTCTGAACTAGCTTCATCACTTTCCTCTCCTCCCCACTTGTGGTGAGTGTACTGGTGCACTATGGCTGCTGTCGTGTCATCCAGGTGGGGCTGCACACTGGTGGTGGTGGAGGGGATCCCCCATTACTTGTAAAGCACTTTGAGAGGAGCATCCAGAATAACACTATGTAAGTGTAAGGAATTATTATAAAATTTCAGAAACAAATATAATGCAAATTCCTGTGCCTTATTCAGATTTCTGCTTCAAGGAAGGTCCTAATGAACAACGTAATATACAAACTCCCATAGAGTTTGGGATGCTGGGTAAGTCATGTTTTTAATGTTACACACAGTTAGATTAAAGTAAAAACATTTGTGACACACCTGCATGTGCTATTTTACATATTTCTGTACTACATTACTGTAACTGACAGCAATTTGACTTACTTTGTCGTTGTTTTGAGTTTTACAGCACCCAGTAGTGTTAAAATTAATGTTCCAATTTATTTTTGTATCCCTGTAAGAGGAAGTCTGCATTTGTACTTCACTAATATTGTGCCGTAGCTTAAATAGTTGTACTCAGATTCCTTTATACATATACTATAGTGAAGACACAACATAATGTAAATATAAGGATTGCCTACTGAGCTTGTAGAATATGTACATAAAGTTTTGTTTGTGCCACATAATTACTGGCGATTCTGAGATCTGTCTTCGCTAATCTGTTCTGATACCTTAGGCATTCAGTATGTAGAGTCAACAGAGGAGAGGGAAAACTAACAGAGAAGATGATTTTCTTCTCAACAGTTCCTTCCTTAAACACACTGTACTAGCAAGCTACTGCACATACATGAAGATCTCTAGATAGGCACACAGAGTAGACTGTTCAATATTTACAGAGCACTGCAACTGCATCCATTTGCTAATGGTGGGACAAAAGAAAATCCAGACTGTTACACAAAAAAAACCTTTAGACCCACACACACCGGCCTGAAGGTGTTCTTAGAGGACAAGTGTAAGAGATAAGAGGGAGAAACAGATGCTCTTCTTCACAAGAACAAAACCTACAGGAGGGCTTCATGAGTGAGGCAGAAAGTACTGGGGCTTAACATGTAACTGCCAAAGTGTGTGCAAATAAAAAACAAGATTCAAGTGGCTTAGATCTACAGTCTAAAAGATACTGTATACTTCTTGAGACAAGGCACCCTAAGCTTTATTAATCTGCCCGCTGCTGTTACACAAGGCCTACAGCATGCTGAGACAGAAATACAGGGAGATGTAAAGAAGGAAAGTTTGACAAGTGCTTCGAGCCATGAACGCTGGCAGAACCTGCAGTGTCCAGACTGAAAACACAAGGTGGCATGCAGTAGCCAACTCTGAAGAAACCCAGCGCATTCAAAGAAGTGAACCAAAGAGGCAGTGCCAAGCATTACTCCTGGATTTAGGGTGAAACAACAGAATATTTTAAGGAAGCATATTCGATAAGACTGGGCTTTGTGGATGAACTCACTTAAAGGGACCGGGCCACACCAGTGCCTACAGAATCTGAAGCTTTAGCTTTAAAAATCTGGACTGGATTCTCACACTGTAAGATGAGAGCTGTGCTGCCCTTAGTGATTCACAGAATGGCTTTCAAGGGTAAGTAATACTGCTGAAAGTTAGTAAGGCATTCTCAAATCACAACGAGCTTTCACAGCTAGCTAGAGTACATACTGTTAAGCTGTGCAAGCTCCAAGTTTTTGTCAAGAGACGATCAAGTGAAGAAGACCCCTGGGTAGGGCTCATCAAGACATAGTGTCCGTGTGGAGTGCATAATGACTCCTACAGTCTAAAAATCCCACGTACATT